TTGCATCACATCGACAAGCACTGGTATCGCTGAGTAATGTGGCAAGGTATTATGGCGACCAAAATCTATCTTCTATTGCCCATTTCTCAGATATCCGCAGTACTTTTCACTCTTCTAGACAACCAGAGAGTAGACTTGCACATCCCCAGCCATGATACTTATAGTTCGACATTTATTTGTCGTTCATATCATGCTGTCTTCAGTGTAAATAACCCGTTAGCCTCCCTTCACTTGTACCACTTTTTGTGATGGAAACTGGACTACAATTCAGGATGTTCACAAAGTCCTGCGGAGACTGAGACAATATCATTTATTGGGAATTTTCTGCGGCTCTCTGATTCCCTCTTTCTCTGCACCGTTTCGCAAGTTAAAAAAATATGATGAGTGGGCAATTAGTGATTTGATAATGCCAATTAAAATTGATGCTAAATGCACAGAATCTGCATTTTCCTTATATGAACACATAAACATGTACTGTCATTATTAATATTAGTATATTTTTATCATCACCAGTTTAATTGTGGCGCAGCCTCCTAACAGAGAAATCGCATCAACCTCATGGACACAACCTTGCGACAGTTAACATAAATCACATCCCGACTTTACCTTTACATGCACTTAGGTATTTGGCAGTTAAGTCGATCTTTCTCTCCCTAAGCATAATGGTTTCTCTTCTCCCGCCTGTGTTTCTATATATCTACTTTTCTTGTCTGTCCTATGTATCTCCCACGGAATCTCTTCTAGGTAAAACGGTAATTCGTCCTTTCCCTGTTTCGTAAGCCTCCGATGAAATATTCAGATTTACTAAAATAGCAATATCAAGGTTAAAAAACTGCAGATTTTTTCGCCTTGATAGGTGGGGTGCAACCTTTGGCCATCCATACACCTGCGAAGATAAAGCAGTGGAGACTCGCCATCCGACGAAGGTTGGTGGAACAAACAATTTCTGCTCTCCAGCGGTGGTTGGCGCGGTTCGCTCTGGGAAAAGGAGCCACGCGCCACGGTGTCAAATCTGGCTCGGGGATCTGAGCATGTGACTAGTGTGTGTATATATATGTAACATATCAGTGAACGAACTGTATATTAAACAATGATATGGCAACACTGTTATTGTTTTAGACAGAAGCCAGTCGCACTGTCACCACGGAACGGGACGGATGTACGTCACTTCCGACCCTCGTGAATCTAGTCTCTCCTGTCAATATATCACCAAAGGATTTACGCGAGTTTATCTATCCACAACTGATAAGACATTCTGTGGACATCCCACACCCACATGGCGCAGTGATTTTCAGTGAAAAGACAGTAAAGAGAGGAACCGGCAGTATGACCCAGCGATGCAGCGTCCTCGTGTTCCCTAAAGTGTAGGTGTTCCCTAGAACACCTACACTTTAGCTACATTTTCTTTTCATCTCTCATTACCCACAAACGCATTTACAATATCACCAACTTCATGTAAGAGTTATACTGTTTAATAAAAACGCACATCTATAAACAGGAACTCAACAAAAAGGATAAAAACATCAACATTATGATAACATATATGAAAATTCACAACTACTACTAGTACCACTAGTAGTATATTACTGATACTATTACTAGTAGTAGCCTACTACTGCTACTACTACTAGTAGCTACTACTACTACAACTAAAAACAACAACAGCAACGACAACTTCTAATACAAAAGCAACTTCTACTATTACTAATACTACTACTAGTTCTAGTATTATTATTACTCCTAGGACTTCCAGTACTATTACTCATCCAGCTATTGATGATAATAATAATAATGCTAGAACTAATAAAGATAATGATGGTAATGATAATGATAATGATCATAAAGATGATAATAATAATAATATTAATAAAAGTAATATCAAAATAAAAATAATGATTATGATGATTATTATAATAACAGTAATAATGATAATCATAATCATTATCATAATAATAATGACAACAATAATAATTATTATTATCATCATAATAATAATAAAAATAATAATAATGACACTAATAATAATAATGATAAGGATAATAATGATGATAATGATAATAATGATAATAATGATGATAATGATAATTATAATAGTTATAATACTACTACTGCTACTACTACTACTACTAATAATGATGATAATAATAACAACTGTAATATTAAAATCAATAATAATAATAATAACAACTATGATAATAACAGTATAGATACTCAAAGCAACAATAGCAATAGCAAAAACATCTTCAATAATATTCAGCAACAAGAGTCAAAACAAACAGCAAAGTACTAACAATAACAATAACAATTATAGTGATGATGATGTCAGAAACAGTAATAACAATGATAATGATAGAGATATCGGTAGTAATATAAACAGTGACAATAACACTACTACTACTACTGCAATAACTGTTACGACCAAAATTAATACTAACAATAGTAATAATAGAAATCATAATAATGATAATAATTTTGAATACATAGCAAAGGGAAGCTTTAGGTCGGCCGGCCGTTATCATCCTATGCCAAATGAAGTTTATTTACTTATATACATTTTTTGTCATAAAATGATAGAAATACCTAGAACTAGAATTTGGAAGAATGGTATAAACATCAACAGCAATAAATGACTTAAACCAATATTAAGCAAAAAAAAAAAAAAAAAAAAAAAAAAAAAAAAAAAAAAAAAAAAAAAAAAAAAAAAAAGACAATGTATGTTTTGAAAGCACTACATTAAAATATATTATTATTTTTTGCTGTGTAAAATGTTAATTATTTTCGATATGTAAGAAACTGTAACGGATTAAACATTATTTGCTGAATCTCAACGGAGCAAACTTTCAAAGGCGTTTTTCCCAACATACAAGTATAGAATGAGATAGGTAGATAGCTGGATAACTAGATAGATAGACAGATATACACACACATATTTATTATATATACACATATATATGCATACATACATACATATACAGTATATATGTATATATAAATATGATAGATATATAGCTGGATAACTAGATAGATAAACAGATACACATACACACATATATACATATATATACATACATATACAGTATATATGTATATATAAATATCTGTGAATATACAAATCTGTGTGTATGCACATTTGTGCGCTTGCTTGCATGTGTGTGTATGAATACACACGCATACATGCATACACGCACTAATTTGTAATTTTTGGGTTAGTCATATCTAGATACAATAATGATGCCCGACTGCTGCTTTGTAGTTCAGTCTGTGTATGCCTCTGTTCTGCCTAGGCGAAAGAATGTGAGGATAGCCCCTCGCACTACACTTTTATGCCAGTTGAGCATTGTAGCTTATAACTGGTAACTGCCACTCTCCGTGTTGTGTCCTCTCCACTGGTGTGAGATAGCAATGCCTGGACGAAAGAATATGAGGAGTAAGCAAGCTCCCTCTCTCCACGTAGCTAATGGATCCAAAGGAACGGCATAGACCGATACGGTTTGGCACCAGGTGTTGCCAGAACGAGGTCACAAGGGACCTCGTAAATAAATATATACATTATATAAGTACACATATAAACATATATATACATATATAGGTATGTATGTAAATATATGTAAATATATTGTGTACACAAATGTGTATACATATATTCATATATGTGTATATACACACACATATCGTTAGATAGATTTATACACATATGTATACATCTTCTATTGCTCTGTCCTACAACAGATCCTTTTTGGAATTTTCTCTATGACCCTCTATTCTCTGTTAATTCACTTATGCCCAGCTTTCTCCAAGGGACTGATGGCTATTTCCTGAGATGTCTGCCATAAATATATATATATATATATATATATATATATATATATATATATATATATATATATATACAACCCCCCCCCCCCCCCACACACACACACACAAAACCAAAACCAAAATCAGGACAACTGACCTGTCCACTGCCATCCCTGCAACTACCGCTGACCACCGAAATGGTTCTTCCGCCAGTTCTAGGTACTAATGTCGCTGCTGCCCAACATTAGGATATACAACCCCATATCTGGGACCCCCTCAGGTGTCACCTCTCTGAGTGAGGGAGGACCCCAGAGTAGTGATGATTAAGGGGCAGCTCTACTTTCCCCAAAACTCCAGATATCCCGAACTAGAGTCTCAGTTTTGGATGCAGTTTATGGTCATACCCAGGACAGACGTTAAAACTACATACTGCAATAAATCTTATTTCTATAATGACAATAGTATTAAACATTTTATATATTTGACTAAGATTTGGGTAACCATAGGCTTGTTGTAAATATGTTGAAAGCGGATCAATTAATGGTTGACAATATATCAGAAAGGGGCCCCCCAAGGTCTATTTGTCATTACTGATGTGCAATTATCTTAATATGTCTTTGTCTCGACAAATTTGTCTATGACTCCTAAAGAAAATGTGTTGGAAAAACAATCTTTGTCTTAGGACAGGTGTCTCGCGCGCGTAAGAACTGTCTTTAAAACTATAATGCAGTTTTGTACAAATTTGAAGATAAATCTGCATCGAGTAGGATAGAAAAAAAATATCAGGAGACCCTTTGTCAAAGATTAATCTAGGCGTTTCTTATATTTAACTGATATATTCTATTCACGCCCGCAAGGACACTTTGAGTCCTAACGCGTAAGGACTGTCAGTAATTTGTCCTTATACGGTTCGAATCCCCCCCCCCCCCGCCTGGGGCTGAAAGACATGAAAAGCCCCGGGCATCCCTCTTCACACTACCAAAGAAGGGGAATCTGCAAAAGTGCCAGAACTACTGCACCATAAGTCTCATAAGCCATGCCAGTAAAGTCATGCTGTGCCCCCCCTCCTTGGATTTCTCCACACTTTATCTTTATTTTGATTTAGATTTTTTGATGCTGAGGATACTTCTCAATAGGCTGAAGAACAGGCTGGGTTTAGGGCAGGAAGAAGCACAACAGAACAGATCTTCAATCTGTGGGCCACTATGAGGAAATACAACATCAATGCCAACCTCATCAGAGTCATTGAACATCTTTATGACCATGCCACAAGTGCATGGATGACACGCAAAATCGTGAAGCGTTCCACATGTATTTTTTTTTTTGTCCTGGATAAGACGTTAAACTGCACCCTGGGTTGCCCTTTGGAAAGGCATAGTACCCATTTTCCACTCTTGGTTGGGGTCACCAAAACTGTTGCAACAGGGCAGTGGATGCATGTTGGAGGCTCATTCAGTGCAACTGAAAATAATGGCTTCAACAAGCACGTACGTCTGGCAAGTACTCATTCCTACTGAAGAAATGGCAGAGGTGCACCTTCCGGTAGAGGAAACCTGCGGCAGAGAAAGTGTACTGGGACCCTACTCTGCTATTCTTCCCGATTATCCTCCATGATAGTCTCACAGAATAGAGATGCTTGGAAAACCACGGTAATTCAGCTTCTGAATGGCAATATAGGTAAATAGTTCCGAACGACTGTCGGAGACAAGGCTGTCTTCTATCACCTACCCTCTTCAACATTTTCTTGGAAAGGCTGATGACAGACGCATTAGAAGACCACGAAGGATCAGTCAGCATTGGTGGCAGAACTATCAAAAACCTGCGCTTTGCTGATGACATTGACGGCTTGGTGGGCAGAGTGGATGAACTAAACAACCTTGTGGAGCGCCTTGACAAAACACCACAGGCCTATGGTATGGAAATCAGCGCAGAAAAGACAAAGCTAATGACCAACAACTCAAATGGCATCCTATGAAACATCGAAGTGGAAGGTCAGAATATGTATATTAATATATATATATATATATATATATATATATATATATATATATATATATATATACATACATATATACGTATATACATGTATATACGTATGTGTGTATATGCATGTATATATGATAAAGATGACATGCGTGTATATGTATATACGTATGCGTACGCGGGTGTGTGTGTGTGTGTGTGTGTGTGTGTGTGTGTGTGTGTGTGTGTGTGTGTGTGTGTGTGTGTGTGTGTGTGTGTGTGTGTGTGTGTGTGTGATGTGTGTGTGATGTGTGTGTGTGATGTGTGTGTGTGTGTGTGTGTGTGTGTGTGTGTGTGTGTGTGTGTGTGTGTGTGTGTGTGTGTGTGTGTGTGTGTGTGTGTGTGTGTGTGTGTGTGTGTGTGTGATGTTTGTGTGTGTGTGTGTGTGTGATGTTTGTGTGTGTGTGATGTTTGTGTGTGTGTGATGTGTGTGTGTGTGTGATGTTTGTGTGTGTGTGTGTGTGTGTGTGCAAGGTGTGTGTGCGTGCAAAGGTGTGTGTGCGTGCAAAGGTGTGTGTGCGTGCAAAGGTGTGTGTGCGTGCAAAGGTGTGTGTGCGTGCAAAGGTGTGTGTGCGTGCAAAGGTGTGTGTGCGTGCAACGGTGTGTCTGTGTGTGTGTGTGTGTGTGTGTGTGTGTGTGTGTGTGTGTGTGTGTGTGTGTGTGTGTGTGTGTGTGTGTGTGTGTGTGTGTGTGTTCGTATCTGTGTGTGTGGGTGTTTGTATCTGTGTGTATGGGTAAATGCGTGCGTTCGTGTGAGTGTGTATGCGTGTGTTTGTAGCTGTGTGCAACATACAAAACAACAACGTTCCAACTCTTCGGTCACTTGTCTTATGGCAGTGCGTTTAATCTTCAGCACCACAGGAACGCCCTTTTCCCGGCGCCTTCGCGCCCCGTAGACGCCGCTCACAGAGGCCATCGCAACTTCCGGTGGCTGCCGTTCGGGCAGCCGCAGCCGCAGCATTAAAAGACGAGCGGACGAACCAAAGCAACACAACAGATCGTGATTATCTATGCTACCTTGCCAAAAGATATTCCTAATCTTAAAGGACGATATAAAGAGAGGATATAGTGGTTTGTCACCTTGCCTATGTCCCTAACTGTTGGTGAATCGGCATTAACTATTCCCTCCCCTTAGCAATCGATCAGCCACGCCTCAAGAAGCCACCCAGTGCCCCCCTTCCCTCTGGTCCAACACACCCCTTTGTCCTTGAGCGCGTGCGTGCGTGTCCGTCAGTGTACGTGAACATGTACGTTTGTGACATTGTCTCCTTTTAACATATTTTGTATTTTCTTAAGTGTTCTGACATTTATTAACTTTAGAACTGTAGACATGAAGTCGAAAGTAGCTAATATTTGTCTTGTCTTCACTTGAATATTCACTTGTTTTTTTCATACTTATTTCTCAGTGACCATTGATGTGTATTTCCTACTTTCTAGTTTTAAAGAGCTTATAGTCACGAATGGTGGTTCACCATAATTTTGACACTGGCAGCTATGATAGCAACTTCAGAGCATAAGGTTGATGATGTTACGATGATAATATTACACAGAAACTGTAAACTGGTAAAACATTTGTCAGAAAGGCTCATATACTAGGCATGATGTGTTTGAAACATCAGGCGGAAAAATAAGACAACCTTATAAATATGAAATGAATCAGGTCCTTTCCATTCCAGGTCTTTTGCCTCCCTTTCTTTTCCAAATCAGTCTGACACCAAAGCAGGAGTATACGACCACCAATCGAGAGTGGATTTGTCTTTGAACCTATTGCCTGCATACAGGATTTTGTTATTGCGGGGTCATCAGTGACACTGTCCGTTCTGGAAATTCGGAAAACTAATCCTATTTCTATGAGTTTCTTCATCCGTTTCACCACTCC